CCTCCAACGAACCGGATCCGGATTCGGACCCGGATCTATTCGGGCCGGACTCTCCTATAGACGCTTACTCATGCGACCATTTCCGCATGTACGACTTCAAAGTCCGGAGGTGCGCTCGTGGGCGGAGCCACGACTGGACGGAGTGTCCGTACGCTCATCCCGGCGAGAAGGCTCGCCGGAGGGATCCGAGGAAGTACAGTTACTCCGGGACGGCTTGTCCCGATTTCCGCAAAGGCGGCTGTGTGAAAGGGGACTTATGCGAGTTTGCTCACGGTGTTTTCGAGTGTTGGCTTCATCCGGCTCGTTACAGGACTCAGCCGTGTAAAGACGGTGGTGGCTGTCGCCGGAGAGTTTGTTTTTTCGCTCACTCGCCGGATCAGCTTAGGTATCTCCCGAATCGGAGCCCCGATCGGGTTGATTCGTTCGACGTCTCGTCTCCGATGCGTCATTCGTGTGCTAGAGCGTTTCAGCTGTCGATTTCGCCGGTTTCCGGTTCGCCGCCGGTGAGTCCGAGGGGTGACTCCGGGGGTCAGTTGCTGAGTCGTTCACTCGGAGCTAACTCTGTGAACGACGTCGTGTCTTCGTTTAGGAACTTACAGTTTGAGAAGGTGAAATCGTTTCCTTCGTCTTATAACAATCCGTTACGTTGTTATCAGTCCGGATTCGGGTCGCCTCGTGGATCCATCTTGGGTCCTGGGTTTCAGAGTCTGCCTACAACACCAACCCGACCCGGAAATATTGATATTTGGGAGAATGGTTTGGAGGAAGAGCCCGGGATGGAGCGGGTCGTGGAGTCGGGTCGTGAGCTGCGGGCAAAGATGTTTGAGAAACTGAGCAAGGAGAATTGCATGGATCGGGTTGAACAGGATCCGGATCAGAATTCGGGTGAAGGTCCTGATGTCGGGTGGGTATCTGATCTGGTGATGTAGGAAGAGAAGATCCGACCCGTACTCGGATATCAATATCGGCTTTTTTCTCGGATCTCTTCTAAGGAAAAGCGGAGGAGATCTAGAAGTGTGTTCATATTATTTTTTTACTAATTTCGCATTATCCGATAATAATATTATTAAATATGGATTTTGGGGAGGCTTTTTCTGAGAAGACTTTGGAATCTCGTTTGTATAGATGTGCCTAGGGTTTTAATTACGGAACATTAATATATATATTATTAATATTCTATCGTGTTTATTAAGACTATATTGTTAAATGTAACGCACTTGGTTGTTTTGCAGTAAATGAATGCTAATTATTATCTATATGTTTGCTAAGTTTTTCTTTATCCAATTATTAATGGGAATTGTTTAACGATGAATTATCGTTTCAGGAGTTTGACTTTGACTGTATCTTACATAACCTTGAACGGTTCAAAATGAAATAAGTAATTTAGTAACCACTGACCAAAGTTTAAAGTTATGTTAACCAATTAAACACATGTTCAGTGGGGTAACAGAAGCGTTTGGCGAATCGTTGGAGATTGACATTATCCAATACGATATGGCTATATCATAGAGAAGAAAATGACATTGACCAATACAAATTTGCAGGACGGCTAAGAAAAGTCCGACTCTGATTAAACCAGTACCATCTTTGCTTTGATGACCGGGCAGAACTGAGTTTTGATTTATTGAACGACGTACGATGGCCATGGGCGTCATTTCTAACTCATGACCTATTAAAAACAATTACAGTAACGTGTAAAATTCTTACGAGTAAAGAGTAACTGTGTAAATCGAGTTATTTTAAATTTTCTTTTTCTGGTTATCAGATTTTGTTAAATTGTGATAATTTAGAATGTTTGGTAATTAACCTTTGGAATACTCAGTTTATCAGCAAGGCAAAATACACATTCAGAATGAAATTTTTTTTGTGATATACTTATTCATGATAGAAACGACGTTGTGGGTCCAATGTTAGGTATCAAAATTAACATCTTGAAGAAACACATAAATAATTAAATGCAGTATGAATGAATGCAGATACAGATGTTGTTGTATGAGGGAACGGCCAAAATTGCAATCAAAGAATTAGAAGATTTGTGTAGGGCGATTAGGCCACAAACTCGCGCCTAATGTCAAAAAAAGAAACCTAATTACAAAGTTATTTTGTTATACTAGTTTACTTAAAATTAACTGTTTAAGATCAATAAGTTTTGAAGCCTATGTAGCAGTGTAATCAAGGGGACAATTAATCTATTTATGAAATACATTTTTGAAAATTTAATATGCTAAGATGATAACCTATTTTTTGTCATTTATTGTTAGCACAATTTTACATTATTAGTTGACATAAACCGATTCGGGTTAATTAAACAGTGAAAATTATCGATATATCTGGTCATCACATTTTGTTCGGTTAAGTTGTCATAAATTTCACAAAAATCTTATAAAACTTTTACAAGGAATCTTACACGTGTTTAAAAGTTTTAACAAAATTTTGGAAGCTTTAGAAAATGTTGTTTGTATATTTACATCTCAATGACAAATATTCAGCCGTGACAAAAAAAGAAAAATGTATACATTAGTTCTTTGCATCAATGTATTTCTGGTAGTATAACAAACTTTTAGCTACTTTAATAAACTTTAATAAGTAACTATCTCAAAATTTTACAGGTTAATTGAAGTTGTCTACATTTTCCATCTATAAGGATTGTTCATCATCTTCATTTAATAAGATTCAAACCATAATTTTAACATACTATAAATATTATTTTAACTTTTCTCGAGTTTCATAATCTTTGAATCATAAATATAGCCTCTTACTAGCGTTTTATACCTTCATCGTTATCTTAAAACTTGCCCGAACTTCGTTATCAGTTCCCGTGATGGACTGTCAAAAGAAACTCCGAGTGCAAAACATTTTATACTTCAGAACTGTCCGACAAGTTGTCTTTGTGTTCTTTAGATTAGATTATCTCAGACCAGGGCCGGTCTGACTTATTGGGAGACCTATTCTAATTTTTTTTATAGTTATAAAACTATATATCAATAACCTATTAAAAATAAAAATTGTATGTACAGAAAAATATATAGATAACTTATTTTTAAATAATATATATTAATATATAATAACGTTTTTATGTATTTTATATATAGATTAATATATAAAAATAATTATTTTTTTTTAAATTGGGGATTCTTATAATGTTGGGACTCCATACAAATATTTCTTATGCATAGGCTTAGACTCGGCCATATCTCAGACTTGGAACTCTTTGGAAGATTGTGATGATGATTTTCGATAACATTTTATAAAAAATAAAGGTAAAATGTTTTGAACTTTTGATGAAACGACGTCGCGGAGGCAGATATATAATTAAATGTGTTTTGTGGGTAACGCGCTCGCTTTTTTTGAGAAAGATGGAAAACCCCCAAAAGCAAAGAGTTTCCATAGGCTATCATATGCTACAAGAGGCGGTGGTGTTAACTCGCCCTTGGGTGAGAGTGGGCAATCTTCAAAATAGGTTTTGGGTAAGAAATTTATTTTTTTCTGGAAAAATTGTTTCATATAAATGATTGTATGATCAAAATGTACAAGTTAGATACTTAATTTAATAGTTTTGGACATTTTAAAATTTCTAATTATCTTGATCTAGGAACAATGTTGCTAAGCACTTAGATATATCAAATAACTAGGATTCTTACAAAACGCTGCCGTACTGTAAATGGTAATTGGACACTGATATTTTTAGAAACGCTGCCGTATTGTATGACACAACTGGCTTAAACTAAACAAGGAAACTATAACGATTACATTAATACGAGTTTTTTTGGCGCATTGAACAAATAAAACGACTACTTGTAAAACGATGGGGCAGGCATCAAAAGAATTATTTTCGAGATGGACTCTCAAATGGCATTTCTGGAACTAGACAGTCTCATAAGATTACTGAGAACCTAGCCAGGAGGGTGTGTTAGGCTTTGAAGCGAAGCTCTTCTAGCAATTGGGAGTTGTACAAAATCAAAAAAAAAACAGAGAAGAACGTTAGTCAAATATTGCTAAAGATAAAAGCCCCGAGAAAGAACAGAACCAAACAGGCCTGACGAAAAAACTACCGCAAGCTAAAGAGGAGCTGTTAGTCTGTATTGGCTCTGCTTTTGCTGAGGTTTTTGCAGGACTAGGAATTTGGGTAGTAGAAGCAATTATCTTTATGGTTCGGTTCAGCTGTGAAGCTTTTGGTAGTTCCTTTATTAGCTAAGTCAATGACTTGGCTTTCTCACCAGGAAACTCATCAAACACCATAACTTTGACTACCGTAGAATAATATGGTCAAGGGAGCACAAGGTTCAGACTCCATCTTCACAGAACTGTCCGATAAGGTGTCTTCGTGTTCTTTAGATTAGATTACCTCAGACTTGGAACTCTTTGGAACCTTGTGATGATTAAAATGGTGATGTTCCATTAGTATTGTAGATGAAAAATTCTTACTCATCTAGACAGCAATTTTAGCCCCATCTTGGAGGGAACCAAGGTACACAATACCAAACCCTCCTTTACCATTTACCAATCACTTTACTGAAGTTTTTTGTAAAGCTAGAGAGTTCAGTGTGTGTGGTTTATAGTAGTAGGGATTCTGGTATGATAAACATTTGCTTCAACTGTTGTATGATATACAACAACTTTCGGATATAGAATGCAATGGAAAAGTGGTTTATAGTAGTAGGGGTTGCAGTCTTACATTGCAACTCCATAAGCATAGAGATTGGTTGTGTTAATACACCAAATTCGAATCTTGATGACATTAATACTTTATGCCATGTTTTTGAGATTCATACAAAGACTAATCCGAACTAGGAAAATGCTAGAAACTCTGATCCAAACTCCTCTTAGATAAAAAAAACAAACAAACTAAAAACAGAAAATGATTCATCAAAGTCTTTAAACCTTAGAGCTCACAACAAACAAACAAACAGAGAAAATCATAAACTTGGAGCAACTCAAATCTATCTATCTCTTTGCTGACACACACACATACTAATAACGTTTTAGTGCTTTTTTATATCTCAGGTGGTGGTGTTGAAGAAATGGATTTTGAGAGCATAAACCAAACCATCCTTACGAAACAGCTCGCACAAGATACGATCACCTTTCTTCAGTCCGTTCCTCATGCATATGAGGTTCCACTTTTTGAGACACAGACGATCACGCCAAGCTGCTGCTTTCGCTTCTAGCTTCCCATCTTGGTGGTTGTCAATGTAGCTCACGTAATCTTGGAACTTCAGGCAGTAGTCTTTCACTAGCTGTTTAGGAACCCTCTGTATATATAGTTACAAACAATATTAACTCAGTAACTTAAAAGAGTTAAGAACAATTTAAGAAAATGATCTATTACGAGTTCTTAATTACCAGCTCGTATATCCTGTTCTTCACGACTGTCTCAAAACATACATTCTTTGGATCATCTAGATACACCTCTGGATTCTTGATTGTGAACTCTGTCAATAAAAGAAAACACATTTTCAAGATTAAGTATCTACCACGTAAGGTTAATAATGTACTTAAGCAAATGATGTTTAACCTCTCTTCCTAGACGCTGAACGAGAGCTGTTGCTTGTTGAACCAACAATAGAGTTTACTGATCTGAGCTCTCCTGTAAAGACACAAACACAGTTAGTTATATAAACAGAACGTGAGATGATATAATGTGTTTAAGTAACCTTTGTTCCTAGAGTTTGTCACGTTTGGGGTCACGTCAAGGAGTGTGTCTTCGTCAGGAGGAGAGTAGGAGCTGTCACTCATGCTATTGGAATCCTCTGACGTAAACGATTCATCAGAATCTACCACAACAACTCTCTTTTTGCCTGGGAAAATCTCAGCATAAAACAAGAAAACACAGATTGTTGATATAAAAAACTAATCAAACAAAATAATACTAAGTGGTGTAAAAAGCTAATGTTGTGCTTTAGACCTTTGTTCCTGGTTCTTGGGACCCTTGGGACTGTCCTTGCCATCTCAGGTTCAGTGATGTTGGAACCCTCTGAGGAAAAACCACAAAATCTCAGCATTAAGAAAAACAGAGCTTCTCTGTACAAAAAGCACACAAACGAAATGACTTGAGTGATGAAAAGGCTAACCAGTGTGGTTGGCACTGGGGACAGTCTGAGCCATCTCAGATTCTGAAGAAGTGTCTGAGTCTTCTTCGCTGCTCAGATGACAAACGCTGTCTTCTTTGTCATCATCATCATCATCATCTAAGGCTATGACTTGAGCAACAGCTCTGACCTCTTTACATCCTCCACTACCATAGATGCTGACCTTGAAATTGCGAGATCCATCATAAACAAAAGTCAACACGTCTCCATCTCTGAGACGGTTATCCTCGACGAACTTAGGCCACCCTTGTCCAAAATACACCTGACCTCGCCTCTTAGTCATAGCCACCTTCCAAAAGCATCCACGGCTTCCTTGGAGAAGCGCTGTTTTGGGCAAAACAAGTGGTAGCTCATCGTAATAAGACTCCGGAATCATCTGCACATGTACCATTGAAACAATTAAATCAAAAGACAGCTTATAAACAAGAGAGACTCTTAAGGTAAGAAGACTCAAGAGCCAATCTAAACTCGTCATCAAGTTGAAAGCTCTTGCCACAACAGCGGCTTTCCACACAAAAATAACAAGACTTGCTTTCATTTCATCCAAGAGGCGTACAGATAGTTAAAAATATCAGACTCTCCTAAGAAAAACTGATTCAAAGTCCATGACAAGACAAAAAAGAAAAAGGATAGAGAAAGAGAAGATTCTTACCATGGATTCTGAGCTGAAATGAGAGAGGAAGATCTTAAGGAAACGTGGGAGAGCCATTGAGAGGAGAAGATGGGGGGGGGGGAACAGAGAAGATGATAGAGTAAGAGAGCAGCTTTGAAGATGAGTACTGACTAGCTAGTCTTTAAGACAGCTGACAGTGTACTATATACTGCATGGGGCATCTCAGAAAGGTTTTCTTTATTTACTATTTGAACCTCAGATTATTTGCAGAAGAACCCTGTAACTTCTAATAAATTATGGTCAAAGCCAAAATAAGTAGTGAAGAAAACAGAGAATCTTTTGTGTGTGTTTGGAGTGGTCAAAGAAACGATCGTCAAGTACGGTGCCCATCTGATACTGATGCTACTTCTTCCAGTTTTTTTCTCTTTCATATAAAGACACAAACAAAAAGTCCACTTCCTTCGCATGATTAACAAGTTGTACTAGCTTATGATAACTACTACTAGTCTACTACCCTGAAGATCAGATACAAGTTTCTGGCTGATTACTCCTAAGCTGTTCAATTGGGGAATAGTTTTGAAGCATGTGAGGATGATTTATCAGGCAGTATCATAATAGTTATTTTGATAAACAAGTGTTTCTGATCCCTTAGCTGTGAAAGGATTTTAATTTGAGGATAATGATAATGCATCTCATTCAAAAGGACAAAGTAGTAACGCAGAATATTACCGGAAAAAAAAGCATAAATGTCACTTGAAAATTACAAAACGATAAAAATATATGAAAAGAAGTAAATTGTTGATAGCATTCATGACGATGATTCTGCTCCAGTTTAATTTTTACTCGGGGATCCTTTTATATATACATCGCATGTTCTTGTTTATCATCAATGCATAAACAAATCTGCTCGAGCTATAGATGATTAGAGGGCCATCTCAGCCTGTAATGCAGCGAGTTCTTCTTCCTCAGCTGTCCGCTTAGGACCAACTGGACGGACTGGTTGACGCCCTGGAACTGAAGGCATTGGTGTCGGCTGAAGAAGTTGCTCTTCAAGCTCTGCACCTTCTAGCTCTTCAAGCTCTGCTTCAAGCTCATCCTATTATCAAACAAAGGAAGAGAGATCATTAGCTGAACCTAAAAAAAATGATGATGAGGAAGTTAATAGAAAGTTACCTCGTCGAAGTCAGCAGCTGCGCCAATAGGAGTAGACAATGCTTCTTGGATCTGTTTCATGTTCTCTGTCTGCTCATTGATCTCGTCCATTGTCTTGTCCACATCATCTATGTTTCTGTTTTAAAAAGAGCGTTTCAGAGTTTAGGCTTTAGAAACGTCAAAAGCATTAAGGCATAAGAATCACTTATGAACGACTTACGTAGCTTTCTGCATAGCTTTCATTGCAGCAGCACCACTCCTCAAGGCATCAACAGTTTCTGTTGTTGCTTTTGCGCCTTCTAACATAATCATCTGTACGTAAAGAGATATACTATTGTTAAAAATTAACAAACTTACTAAAAGAACACTACTAATTTAGAGAGAAAGAAAAAGAAAAAAGCAGACTTGATCATGAATACGGAGCTGAAAATTGCCAAGCTGTTCCACTTGTTGCTCATAAAGCCTCTTCCTTTTCAAACACTGTATAGCCGCTGCACAAAGATCAACACTAGCGTTTTAGATTGTATATAAAAGACACATGAGTCCTAATTTAACAAGAGTGTGTTGTTTTACCGCGTTTGTTCTTAGCGCGAGTGTATTCTTTGGCTTTCTCAACCTCTTGCCCAGCTTTCTTCAGGAGCACTTTCTCCTTCTTCTCTAGCATCTCAAGCGTCTGCCCATAACCACAATAACGTTACAATAAGTAACAACCATGTGAAAGTAAAAGTTAAAAAAGTAGTCTAAAAATCCTCAAATTCAGATTTAAAGTCAGAATCTTTTCGCCTATTAAGTCTCAAATACATACAAACGAAGAAACGGATCTGGAATTGATAACTAGAATCTAAACCAAACCTAAATTAAAAACCAGAGTAATCTCAACGAGTAAACAAACAGTGACATAGAATAGATACCTCGTTGAGCTTGTCTAATGTCTGAAGAGCATTACCCTCATGCTTGGGTTTCCCAAATAGCCGATTCATCATCGTTGCTTATTTAGATTGAAACCCACTTTGATCTCGATTACTAGATCCCTACAAAATTACAAACACAAATTAGCCCTAACATATCGCAGAAAGAATGACATGGAAGAAGATTTGAGAAAAGATTCAAATACCTGGGAATCTTCGAAGGGTGACTTTTTTTTTTCCCTGGTCGTGTTCTTCTTCTTCCGCGAATGATTAAGATCGAAGGAAGCTACTTTCTTTTTTATCTACACGCGTTGAAGTTAATCTCGTTTACACGTGTTTTATTTTAATTGGCTGATTTGTAATATGTACTTTGTGCGACGCGTCGTACTGAATTGGTTGTTAAAAACCGAGATAACAATCAATTTTAGAACCGAACCACTGTTTTGTTTTACAATACCGTTTCCCGACCACTGCTTCTCGGACACCCGACAGCCTCGATACCGGCAGCATTATTTCGCCGGCCTCTGTATTGGGCTGATTGTTTGGGCTAGGAGATTCTACAAACTATTTGGGCTAGGAGAGTCATTAAATGGGCTGAGTCCTTCTCCAGATTTCCTAACTAGTAAATTCAGGGCCCATTGTATTTGTTACATTTATGGATCTATCATATGGTTCGCATTATGCTTGAACGACATGTAAGAATCATATAAACAAGACGTTTATGTCTTAACGATCTTTTGTTTAGAGTCCTTTACTGTCTTAACCTCTACATCTGTAAAGTCTACATCTTCAACTGGAAAGTATAGTATTTGGTCAAGTTCATTTCGCTGTTTTTATGTTACACTTGACACGTTTTATCTTTCGTTTGTTGTGTCATCGTGTGAGTTTGTGGGCGAGGAAACTAAAGTAAGGTTCGAGATGCAATCTAAGTCTAAAAAGTACTACAACATTAGCATATGCTCATTCCTATGTGTATCCTACTCGGTCATCTGCTTTTCCTTTATGTTTTCCCCTTCCTTAAAGGTCAAATTGCGCCTGGTAATATCACGAGGAGTCAAATTAATGAGTCTACATATTTCAAAATAGGGACATGTGAATTGATGAAAGAAAGAACAAAAGGTCTTAGAAAAGGCCCTAAAAAGAGCAAAAAAGGGAAACATGTGGAGGAAAGTGTCCCACAGGCAAGTCATGTGTTGATAAATCATACTTATGACATCTCCTTAATATAAATTGGTATATTTATCATATATACATGCAACTTGCTATATACAAGTATATCTATATCAAACATATTTCTGTCACTCTTAAGCTATTAAAAATATTATTTTTGGTGACAGATGCTAATTCTAGATTTTTGATAAGTGAATGGTCGCGCTAATTAACGTGATTCAAATGTATGATATGATGAGCAATTAGCTATTAAGGGTCAAATAGATTGGTCTAAGTTTGGATAGATCATTTTGTAGATATCAAGTTATGAAAGATGATGTATTGTATATGTGAAATATGCAAGTTCTACTTTCATATAATGGATCATGTAATTTTGTATATGTATGACATATGCATATAAATTATACAAGTCGACCACTATCACACTGCTGGTGTTACCTAGATTACTACATTCACCTTTTATAAACCCAAATATATCCATGAAACGTATGAGCATGTCTGAATCTTGATTTATCTAGCCTCACAAATTTGTCCGCAATCATGTTTGCATGAAAGTACGATCACCAGTAGTAACTTAGATTACTTTGAAATTTGAAAATTTAGGTAACATTTTTTGTGGAGCATATTATCTTAAAATGGGTTTATGTCACCTCTTCATTATTTATTTTGGGGGGTTATAAGACAGAGATGGGTATGAAATTGTGAAAGTGTTGGTTATAAGGTGGACAAATAAATGAGGGCGTTAACCAAAACATGTTTTTGTAGGCTCCCATGTTACCATGTATGTGCATGTGTTTTGGTCTCTCATGGCATGGTGGTGGTTTGGTTAATGTCCTTTTGGTTTTGTTCTCTATTATTTTTTGTTTTCTTGGGGTCTTGCTATCACATGTTTGTCTACTATTGGATATAAGCGGGTAGGGGTGGGCACTTTATCCGATACCCGAACTCGTACCCGAACCCGACCCGAAATATCCGAACCGAAATCCGAACCGAAGTAACAAAATACCCGAACGGGTATTGAGTTAGGAGAGTTTGGATATCCGAACCCGAACGGGTAATACCCGAACCCGAACGGGTATCCGAAGATAACCGAACATATGTATATATACCTATTTATTTCTAGTTTATTTTGTCTCATTTTATTAAAACTATTTATATTAATGTTATATATAGTTTAATATCAGATAATATACATATAACTGTAAAAAAATTGATTTGTTACTCATTTAAAATGCATGTTAAGCTTCTCATTTCATACTTTAAACAAAATTTGCATCCAAAGTTCAAAATAATAACCAAAATAATGATTTTTATTTTCAATAATTTATTTTCAAACTTATTAATCGTCTAACTTATTAAACATTTAAAAATCAGTTAAGTTAATAGTTAAATTTTAAATACATGAAACTTAAGTAATTAAGAATTTAAAATTTTTCTTTCAAAATCTAAATATCCGAACCCGACCCGAAATAACCGAACCCGAACTAAAAATATCCGAACCCGACCCGATATGTAAAAATACCCGAACGGGTTCTAAACCCCAATACCGAAATACCCGAAAACCCGAAATATCCGACCCGAACCTGAACGGGTACCCGAACGCCCACCCCTATAAGCGGGGCTGGATTGTTACCATAAATGGAACCCCATGTGACATGAAAAGATAGTTTGTGCATATATGGTCATGCATATTCATATATATATATCCTATAGCTCGAGTGACTAGATAGCTATATATAATATATAGAGAGGTTGAGTTGTTCTACTAGAAGAAGGATAAGCGCGCTATAAAATAACTTTGACTTATAAATACATTAATACACAAACTCCAATTGCAATATTTCTACACACATCATTTCTAATATTGTCCAAAACAGCATCCACCAAGCTTCTTGTAGATGGATTTCGTCCCCAGTTTACTATACGATAGTTTTCAATAGTATTATTTTACATTGGCATTAGCGCACCGATGTTTTGCATGAGTTTTCTTTAGAATGTGGACTAGTTTTACAGCATTATAAGCGCTCATAATGTCAAATATTAAACATTGTTACAAATGAGCTGACACAAATTAACGATCTTATGAATTAAGGTTTCGCCCAAACTATTACTTCTTTAAATTAAAGAAAACTCACAAGAGTGTTAATTTTGATTAGCCGCGTATAATTAATTATATTTTCTATATATTTCTGAAAAAAACAAATACTAATCTAAAAATTTAAACTAATGATCGTTTTCAATAGCTAATCTTTTCTACATTAAGATATACTTAACATCATGTTGAAACAATTTCTTGTGTTATTAAAACTAGATGGTACGTCAATGAAAAATTTATTCAAAATGATTTAACCCGTTTATTTATTTATTTTAACATTAAACTTTATTAATATTGATGGGATCCAATAGATATGGAGCTCAGTTGTTACAAATTGGGGAAGGTATATGAAAACAAAACAAGTTATTATGAGGAAGTGGAGTTTTTGAAAATAGGTCCGCAGCTCTATTTACATCTCTTGCAACCCATATGAATTGAACTTCCTGAAACTTATCCTTCCATTTTGTGACCTCTCGTACCCAATTATATGCATCAAAATACAGGAGACGTTTATTTGATAATATTTTTAGCTTTTTGACAATCCCCTTCTATGATTATTTCTTATACCCTTCAACCAACAGTGTTGCATTGCCATAACAATGGCTTGTACTTCACATTCCAATACACTCTTTACTTTCTTTCCATACGCTTGATAGTATCCATTTTCATCACGAACAACCCAACCTGCTTGACTAGGAGTGTTTGTATATCTAAAAGAGCCATCAACATTACACTTCGTCCATCCTTCCATCGGCCGTTTCCACTTCACTTGTGTGTTATTAGTATAGTTCCCATGATAACTCCTTCCGGGTGTATCCATGACCAAAGTGTTCTCATACCATATCCCTTTGCATCAGCTCGTGCTTGTTGTAAAAGGTTCCCATGGGATAATACTTGTTGTAAAAGCTCGTGTTTTGTATTTTATTAGAATTTTTTTCATAAGAAATTTATTTATTAGGATATTGTATTTTCCTAATTAATATAATAATTAGTTAACGTCTGCCCATAACGTGAAAACGTATATTGATATAAAATTTGCATTTTCATCTCATTATAATTTATATCTATATAGCTAATAGTATTATTAGCCTAACACTACTAACGATGATTGATAGTTAGCAGACATGACTATACCAATCATATGTTGTTATTATGTGACAATTGACTGACCTCTGAAAGTTTGAATGTACTTTCTTAGGTTCAGAACTAGTTGACTGGTAATCGTGTAGAAAATGTTACAATATATGTATCTAGTCATTAATAAAGTTGGCAAGGTTCCACATAAATAGTTAAAATTTAATTCAATAATCAATAAAAATCAGTGCTAAAAGGTTTCTCTCATTACTTCTTGGTTAGTATATATGAGGATGATAACTTTCGTGGTCATCCGTCGAATTACAAAACTTTCATCAAAGTCAAATCCAGATCGATTTGCATGACTGCGAAATCAATTAAAACTGGACTACCTAGGATTAGTCCATGGCAACATCCTTAAGAAAATGTTTGAATTTAGATTAATTAAATAAATAATGAGGAAGTTACAAGAAGAGACGTAGTAAATAAAGGGAGGCCCCCTCGTGTGGAACGTGAGCAGTACACTCCAATTATATAACTTGTGCTCTGTCTTAACTTGTGGGGGCACCTGCCACTGTTCTGTTTCTTCTTCGCTTTCTCTCTATCTCTCTTCTTTCAACCACTTTTGTCCTTTCTCTTTCTCTCTTTCTCCTCCCCCACACATCTGTTATCTATTTTTGGGGCAGTGAAAATTAATTTCCTCGCTGCAACCTTTTTTTTCTTACTTGATCTATAACTTTCAGCAATTTATTACCCTTTTTCATGTATCAGATTCTTTTTTCACCAAAATAGAATCTTTTTCATTCTAGGTGATTCAAAGTAGAGTAAATAAAACCTTAGAAATAGGTCTATACTTGCTATTTGTGTGACACCTAGCTACCTATATTAAGGTTTGAATAGAATTTCAACGCTTGTTAATGCT